TGTCGGGTAGTTCTACTCGTGAGGCTTCAGCTGCCTCGAAGCATAAGCTATTACTTTCCCCTGCTGCATCAACACACAACCCAATCCTTGTTTGGAAGCATCACTATAGATGGTGAAGTCAAAGGTAGGGTCTGGAATGGTCAATACAGGTGCGGTGGTCAACTTAGTTCTCAACTCTTGAAAGCTCTGTTCGCACCGGGAAGTCCACACGAACTTGGTCTCCTTCTTTGTCAACTGGGTCAATGGTTGGGCTATTCTCGAGAAGCCCTCAATAAACCTCTGATAGTAACCAGCAAGACCCAAGAAACTTCGAATCTCACCGGCATTCTTCGGAGTATTCCAGTTGCTTACTGTCTCTATCTTGCTGGGATCCACTTCAATTCCCTTGGCGGTAACAATGTGACCAAGGAAGGCGACTCGGTCCAACCAGAATTCACACTTGGAAAATTTCGCATATAGTCTCTCTTTGCGAAGGGTCTCTAGCACGATCCTCAAATGCTCGGCGTGCTGGTCGGCGTCTCTCGATTAAACCAGGATGTCGTCGATGAAAACGATAACAAACCGGTCTAAGTATGGATGGAACACCCGATTCATCAAGTCCATAAATACTGCCGGTGCATTACTCAACCCGAACGGCATCACTACGAACTCATAGTGACCATACCTCGTTCTGAACGCCGTCTTTGATACGTCTTCCTCCTTGATTTTCAACTGATGGTAGCCCGAGCGTAAATCAATCTTTGAAAATACGCTCGCTCCCCTCAGCTGATCAAAGAGGTCCTCTATTCTCGGAAGAGGATACTTGTTCTTCACAGTCAACCGGTTCAGCTCTCGATAATCGATGCACATTCTCAACGTGCCATCCTTCTTCTTCACGAAAAGTACAGGCGCACCCCATGGCGAGACGCTCGGTCGGATTAATCCGAGATTGAGCAACTCCTGAATCTGGGTTCTGAGCTCTTGCAGCTCCTTCGGTGCCATCCTGTATGGTGCCTTTGACACTGGTCCGGCTCCGGGGATTAGGTCAATAGTGAACTCCACTTGTCTATCCGGTGGCCCTCCTGGAAGCTCATCTGGAAAAACGTCGCGGTATTCACAAACGATCGGTACTGACTCGGGAGACGGCTCCTCCTTCTGACTCCCGACGGCACTCACTAAGTAGCCCTGGCAACCACTCTTCCGAAAATTCTTCATCGCCTTCATGCTAGATACAACTCTGGGTACAGTCCTAGTCTGTGCTCCGAAAAACACGATCCGATCATCTCCTGGCAAATGCAATGTCACCTCTCGTTGGTGGCAGCTGATGTCGGCATGGTACTTTGTCAACCAGTCCATCCCTAGAATAATGTCAAAGTCCTTCATGTTGATGACGTAGATGTCGGCCTCCAGATCTCGTCCACCGATGTTCATCTTCAATTCCTGCACTATAGAGTTCGTAACAATCGTCTTCCCCGAGGCTAGGCTAACCTCTAGGGCATCGACTGCACTCACACTCTGGACTCCAATCGCCTCCAAACAACTCGATGAAATAAAGGAGTGCATTGCTCCGGTATCAAACAATGCGAATACAGGTATACCATGCACAGAAAGCATTCCAGACATAGTACCTTGATTATTTGCGGCCTCATTTTGGGTCAATACGAACACCCGGG